GTATGTACACGGTATGGACACGGTATGTACATGGTATAGGTCACGGTATGTACACGGTATGGACACGGTATGTACATGGTATAGGTCCCGGTATGGACACGGTATGTACACGGTATGGACACGGTATGTACATGGCATAGGTCACGGCACAGAGCGGTAGATTGTTGGGGTCTCACCACACGCAGACGTCTCGTTGTTCTCTTATTATACAGAAGATTCATCGTCTCCAGAACTAGAAAGAACGATCTCCGGAGGACGTCCGTCTGGCAGCGATCGCAGCTTTCACACCTGTCCTGGAACGCGTGTCCTCCAGCCAAGAGAACACGGGAACCACCCAGACCTGAACCCCCGGCCACGGAACATCAACACAGATGATGGAACAATTCACAGCAAATAGACTACAACTCCCACCATCACCCGACTACAACGCCCACCATCACCGACTACAACTCCCACCATCCCGACTACAACTCCCCCACCATCACCGACTACAACTCCCACCATCCCCTTCTACAACTCCCACCATTCCTGACTACAACTCCCACCATCACCAACTACAATTCCCACCATCACCGACTACAACGCCCACCATCACCAACTACAACTCCCACCATCATCAACTACAACGCCCACCATCACCTACTACAACGCCCACCATCACCGACTACAACTCCCACCATCACCGACTACAACTCCCACCATCACCGACTACAACGCCCACCATCACCGACTACAACGCCCACCATCCCTGACTACAACTCCCACCATCCTGGCTACAACTCCCACCATCACCAACTACAATTCCCACCATCACCAACTACAACGCCCACCATCATCAACTACAACTCCCACCATCACCAACTACAACTCCCACCATCACCTACTACAACTCCCACCATCACTACTACAACGCCCACCATCCCCTTCTACAACTCCCACCATTCCTGACTACAACTCCCACCATCATCAACTACAACTCCCACCATCACCAACTACAACTCCCACCATCATCAACTACAACTCCCACCATCACCTACTACAACGCCCACCATCCCAACTACAACTCCCACCATCACCTACTACAACTCCCACCATCACCTACTACAACTCCCACCATCACCGACTACAACGCCCACCATCATCAACTACAACTCCCACCATCATCAACTACAACTCCCACCATCACCTACTACAACGCCCACCATCCCCAACTACAACCCCCACCATCACCTACTACAACTCCCACCATCACCTACTACAACTCCCACCATCACCGACTACAACGCCCACCATCATCAACTACAACTCCCACCATCACCTACTACAACGCCCACCATCACAAACTACAACTCCCACCATCACCGACTACAACTCCCACCATCATCAACTACAACTCCCACCATCACCTACTACAAACTACTACAACTCCCACCATCACCTACTACAACTCCCACCATCACCGACTACAACGCCCACCATCACCGACTACAACTCCCACCATCATCAACTACAACTCCCACCATCACCTACTACAACTCCCACCATCGCCGACTACAAACTACAACTCCCACCATCACCGACTACAACTCCCACCATCACAAACTACAACCCCACCATCATCAACTACAACTCCCACCATCACCTACTACAACGCCCACCATCCCCGACTACAACTCCCACCACCATCCCGACTACAACTCCCACCATCGCCGACTACAAACTACCCACCATCCACCTACTACAAACTACAACTCCCACCATCGCCGACTACAACTTCCACCATCACCTACTACAAACTGCAACTCCCACCATCACCTACTACAACTCCCACCATCACCTACTACAACTCCCACCATCGCCGACTACAAACTACAACTCCCACCATCGCTGACTACAACTCCCACCATCAATTACAAACTACAACTCCCACCATCACCTACTACTACAACTCCCACCATCACCGACTACAACTCCCACCATCACCGACTACAACTCCCACCATCGCCTACTACAACTTCCACCATCGCCGACTACAACTCCCACCCACCATCACCGACTACAACTCCCACCATCGCCGACTACAACTCCCACCATCGCCGACTACAACTCCCACCATCACCTACTACAACTTCCACACTACAACTCCCACCATCACCTACTACAACTCCCACCATCACCTACTACAACTCCCACCATCACCGACTACAACCCCCACCATCACCGACTACAACCCCCACCATCACCGACTACAACCCCCACCATCACCGACTACAACCCCCACCATCACCAACTACAACTCCCACCATCACTGTGTATATTCAGCAGGTGACATCACAATGGGACAGACTAAATGACAACATAGGATTTTGAGTAGCAGATAACAATCCGAGGAGGGTTTTGGGGGGGATGGACAGTTTTGATGGACAGTTTTGATGGACAGTTTTGGGGGACAGTTTTGGGGGACAGTTTTTTTGATGGACAGTTTTGATGGACAGTTTTGATGGACAGTTTTGGGGGACAGTTTTGATGGACAGTTTTGATGGACAGTTTTTGATGGACAGTTTTGGGGGACAGTTTTGGGGGACAGTTTTGGGGGACAGTTTTGGGGACAGTTTTGATGGACAGTTTTGGGGGACAGTTTTGATGGACAGTTTTGATGGACAGTTTTGATGGACAGTTTTGGGGGACAGTTTTGGGGGACAGTTTTGGGTACAGTTTTGGGGGACAGTTTTGGGGGACAGTTTTGGGGTACAGTTTTGATGGACAGTTTTGATGGAAAGTTTTGGGGGACAGTTTTGATGGACAGTTTTGGGGGACAGTTTTGGGGGACAGTTTTGATGGACAGTTTTGGGGGACAGTTTTGGGGGACAGTTTTGATGGACAGTTTTGATGGTTTTGATGGACAGTTTTGGGGGACAGTTTTTGGGGACAGTTTTGATGGACGTTTTGCCGTCTATCCATCTCCTGGAGTCCAGAGTCGGGGGAGATGGGGATTTGCAGGGAGCTCTGCAGGCCATCTTGGGGTGCATTCATCTAGTTCCAGACCTTCCATTGGCCGGTACACGTCATCTGTGAGGTCACATCGTCTGCATGGAGTATGGGCTCTGCACTGACACGTCTTCTGCTGCCCACAGCCAATCCCACCACCTGCAGAGGACCTGAGAATGGACACAACCCTGTCATCCGGGTTCAGCTTCTCCACAGCAACCAAAGCGGCTGATTGGCTGAGCCGAGCTGCGCCATTTGTGTGCCTGGCGGCAGATTCTGCTCCTGAAGGCGAGGAAAGGAATCCTCCAAACCTCGGAGGTGTATGGGTGGCCTGGTCTACCATCAGAGCAGCAAGACCTTTAGGGACCATCTGTGGTCTCCTCCCCAGGAACCTTCTACTCCGGAGGAGCCGGGGGCGAGCAGACGCTGCAGTGTGAGTAAGTGTGAAACCCTCCCGCCGGCAATCAGCCTGTCTAGAGAGAAAACCACAAGGCAGACAATCTACAGCAGGTAGAACACGCACCGTCCTGCCAACAAAGGACCGATTGTCAGATCTCACCGATAATGGCGGAGGAAAAACCGTCCCTGGACAAGAATCTGCCAGATGGGAACACCCAACACAGCCGGCCCAATCAGGACACGGGGCAGAGCCGGTCCAATCACTACACGGGACAGAGCCGGTCCAATCACTACACGGGACAGAGCCGGTCCAATCACTACACGGGACAGAGCCGGTCCAATCAGGACACGGGACAGAGCCGGTCCAATCAGGACACGGGCAGAGCCGGTCCAATCACTACACGGGACAGAGCCAGTCCAATCTACTACACGGGACAGAGCCGGTCCAATCACTACAGGGGACAGAGCCGGTCCAATCACTACAGGGGACAGAGCCGATCCAATCACTACAGGGGACAGAGCCGATCCAATCACTACAGGGGACAGAGCCGATCCAATCACTACACGGGGACAGAGCCGTCCAATCACTACACGGGACAGAGCCGGTCCAATCACTACACGGGACAGAGCCGGTCCAATCACTACACGGGACAGAGCCGGTCCAATCACTACACGGGACAGAGCCGGTCCAATCACTACACGGGACAGAGCCGGTCCAATCACTACACGGGACAGAGCCGGTCCAATCACTACACGGGGCAGAGCCGGTCCAATCACTACACGGGGCAGAGCCGGTCCAATCAGTACACGGGGCAGAGCCGGTCCAATCAGGACACGGACAGAGCCGGCCCAATCAGGACACGGGGCAGAGCCGGTCCAATCACTACACGGGGCAGAGCCGGTCCAATCACTACACGGGACAGAGCCGGTCCAATCACTACACGGGACAGAGCCGGTCCAATCACTACACGGGGCAGAGCCGGTCCAATCACTACACGGGGCAGAGCCGGTCCAATCACTACACGGGGCAGAGCCGGTCCAATCAGTACACGGGGCAGAGCCGGTCCAATCAGTACACGGGGCAGAGCCGGTCCAATCACTACACGGGACAGAGCCGGTCCAATCACTACAGGGGACAGAGCCGGTCCAATCACTACAGGGGACAGAGCCGGTCCAATCACTACAGGGGACAGAGCCGGTCCAATCACTACAGGGGACAGAGCCGGTCCAATCAGTACACGGGACAGAGCCGGCCCAATCAGGACACGGACAGAGCCGGCCCAATCAGGACACGGGGCAGAGCCGACCAATCAGCAGGTAGCCGGCAGTGTAGGGAATGCTGTAATGACACAAAGACCCGACCAGAACATGAAGTCTCAGCGGTGAAAGTCGTCGGAATCATAATTGTTGTATTTGGGCGGAAGATCCAATAATCATCTCTGATTGGTTACAGAGAATTTGCTGCGCTCTGCACTCTGCCAGTGTTCTTCCAGCATTCCAGAGCCGCCCTATGACATGGACACAAGAGCTTACACTCTACACACATCTACACCCAGCTACTGGGACCATCCCGAAATACCCCCCCCCCCGGGCACTTCGAGATCAGGTGACCACCGGACACACCGCCACAGGAGACTGCGTCTGATCACTGGGGGAGGAGACTGAGGAAATGACTCCTGCTCCTTCTACAAAGTTACAATGTACAGTCTGATCACTGGGGGAGGGGAGATTGTGGAAATGACTCCTCCTGCTTGCAGCAGACTTGATCACATAGTACAGGAGACGGTCAGAGACTGCGGACACAGTACAGGAGATGACCAGAGACTGCGGACACAGTACAGGAGATGACCAGAGACTGCGGACACAGTACAGGAGATGACCAGAGACTGCGGACACAGTACAGGGGATGACCAGAGACTGCAGACACAGTACAGGAGATGACCGGAGACTGCGGACACAGTACAGGAGATGACCAGAGACTGCAGACATAGTACAGGAGACGGTCAGAGACTGCGGACACAGTACAGGAGATGACCAGAGACTGCAGACATAGTACAGGAGATGACCGGAGACTGCAGACACAGTACAGGAGATGACCGAGAGACTGCAGACACAGTACAGGAGATGACCAGGAGACTGCGGACACAGTACAGGAGATGACCGGAGACTGCGGACACAGTACAGGAGATGACCAGAGACTGCGGACACAGTACAGGAGATGACCAGAGACTGCGGACACAGTACAGGAGATGACCAGAGACTGCGGACACAGTACAGGAGATGACCAGAGAGACTGCGGACAGAGACTGCGGACAGTACAGGAGATGGACTGCAGAGTACTGCGAGACTGCACACACAGTACAGGAGATGACCAGAGACTGCAGACATAGTACAGGGATGACCAGAGACTGCGGACATAGTACAGGAGATGTCAGAGACTGCGGACACAGTGGTACAGACTGCGGAGACAGGAGAGACTGCAGACACAGTACAGGAGATGGTACAGGAGATGTACAGGAGACAGAGACTGCAGACACAGTACAGGAGATGACCAGAGACTGCAGACATAGTACAGGAGATGACCAGAGACTGCGGACACAGTACAGGAGATGACCAGAGACTGCGGACACAGTACAGGAGATGGTCAGAGACTGCGGACACAGTACAGGAGAGATGACCGGGAGACTGCGGACACAGTACAGGAGATGACCAGAGACTGCAGACATAGTACAGGAGAGATGACCGGAGAGACGGACACAGTACAGGAGATGACCAGAGACTGCAGACATAGTACAGGAGATGACCGGAGACTGCGGACACAGTACAGGAGATGACCAGAGACTGCGGACACAGTACAGGAGATGACCAGAGACTGCAGACATAGTACAGGAGATGACCGGAGACTGCGGACACAGTACAGGAGATGACCAGAGACTGCAGACATGGTACAGGAGACGGTCAGAGACTGCAGACATGGTACAGGAGATGACCAGAGACTGCAGACATGGTACAGGAGACGGTCAGAGACTGCAGATATGGTCTGTGTATGGCCAGCACCACACAGGATGGAGACTCCACGCCAGGCCTATACTGAGCGCCGGATCTCGTCTCATTCACACACAGCCCAATGGCCGATTCCCAGAGCAGAATCCAGAGGCCGGGACGGGCCCCTCCTTCTTCGGACAACTCCTCACCCTACAAACAATTCTCCTTCCTGCCTGGCCGGGGTGGAGCAGATTAACCCGCACAGGGCCTGCTGAGGGCCATTGTTCCCTCAGACCGCCTCTATTTACAGAGCAGACATTTCCTTTTGCTGAGGTTCCAGCTTATTGGCGGCTTCCTCTGGGGGCCCCAGAGCTGGTAGATGATTAAACCGGCTCCTGACCCTTCATAGGGCTCTACAGCCTCAGGGTGCAAACACACAATTGAGCCCAACAGGTGGGGCGGCTAAGAAGGGTGAGCCCAGCAACACCCCACAGAGACCCAACAAGAGTAAGAGGGTGAGCTTCCAGCAGAGCCTTGTGGAGGTTATTTCTTGGGGGTCATCCACATTTGGGGTGTCTCAGCAGAGCCTTGAGTAGATCATCTCTTGGGGCTCATCTACATTTGGGGTGTCTCAGCAGAGCCTTGTGGAGATCACCATCTCTTGGGGCTCATCTACATTTGGGGGTGTCTCAGCAGAGCCTTGTGGAGATCACCATCTCTTGGGGCTCATCCAAATTTGGGGTGTCCCAGCAGAGCCTTGTGGAGATCACAATCCCTTGGGGCTCATCCACATTTGGGGTGTCCCAGCACAGCCTTGTGGAGATCAACATCTCTTGGGGCTCATCCACATTTGGGGTGTCGCAGCACAGCCTTGTGGAGATCAACATCTCTTGGGGCTCATCCACATTTGGGGTGTCTTAGCAGAGCCTTGTGGAGATCAACATCTCTTGGGGCTCATCCACATTTGGGGTGTCCCAGCAGAGCCTTGTGGAGATCAATATCTCTTGGGGCTCATCCACATTTGGGGTGTCACAGCAGAGCCTTGTGGAGATCAACATCTCTTGGGGCTCATCCACATTTGGGGTGTCCCAGCACAGCCTTGTGGAGATCAACATCTCTTGGGGCTCATCCACATTTGGGGGTGTCCCAGCAGAGCCTTGTGGAGATCAACATCTCTTGGGGCTCATCCACATTTGTGGTGTCTCAGCAGAGCCTTGTGGAGATCACCATCTCTTGGGGCTCATCTACATTTGGGGGTGTCTCAGCAGAGCCTTGTGGAGATCACCATCTCTTGGGGCTCATCCAAATTTGGGGTGTCCCAGCAGAGCCTTGTGGAGATCACAATCTCTTGGGGCTCATCCACATTTGGGGTGTCCCAGCACAGCCTTGTGGAGATCAACATCTCTTGGGGCTCATCCACATTTGGGGTGTCCTAGCAGAGCCTTGTGGAGATCATCATCTCTTGGGGCTCATCCACATTTGGGGTGTCCCGTTCGGTATCCCATTCGTGTAGAGCATCTATTAATATATGAAACAAGTAGGCCCTGCACCCTTTTCACAAAACGCAAGAAACCACAAGGAAGGTTCCTGCTCCACTGATTACATAGGACTATGACCCCGAAATGTGGAATTGTCGGGGGCCTGGTGGTGGGCCCCAAGGGCAGCGTCTGCATTTTATACAGTGACCCTGCTTGTACCAAGTGAGAGGCAGAGTAGAGTAGAATCACGAGGAGACGATGGCTGTTCCCACGCACACAGAATTGTACGCTTCTCATAGGACGGTTATAAGACATGGATACAATGTAACGTTTATGTATACGCAGGGTGTGCGACGGTTAGAGGGCCCCCAGGAGGATGGAATGAACGTGACAACCCCGAGAGAGAGGAGCAGTATGTGCCATGACAGCATCTGCATCCCCAACCACAAAACCACATCTAGAAGGGGCGGGGACCCCAAATTCAGCAGAACATTAACTGTGCACAGCCTAGACACACCACCGGCGGATCAAACACTGAAGTAACTTCCAGTCATTCCTAGAGGCCAAAACATGAGGAATACAAGGGGTTAAATGAACAGCGGAACACGGGAATAGAAAATCAGCTCATCCAAGGACGTATCTCATACGGGAGATCTAGAACTGAGGACGTATCTCATACAGGAGATCTAGAACTGAGGACGTATCTCATACAGGAGATCTAGAACTGAGGACGTATCTCATACAGGAGATCTAGAACTGAGGACGTATCTCATACAGGAGATCTATAACTGAGGACGTATCTCATACAGGAGATCTAGAACTGAGGACGTATCTCATACAGGAGATCTAGAACTGAGGACGTATCTCATACAGGGAGATCTAGAACTGAGGACGTATCTCATACGGGAGATCTATAACTGAGGACGTATCTCATACAGGAGATCTATAACTGAGGACGTATCTCATACAGGAGATCTAGAACTGAGGACGTATCTCATACAGGAGATCTATAACTGAGGACGTATCTCATACAGGAGATCTATAACTGAGGACGTATCTCATACAGAGAGATCTATAACTGAGGACGTATCTCATACGGGAGATCTATAACTGAGGACGTATCTCATACAGGAGATCTATAACTGAGGACGTATCTCATACAGGAGATCTATAACTGAGGACGTATCTCATACAGGAGATCTAGAACTGAGGACGTATCTCATACAGGAGATCTAGAACTGAGGACGTATCTCATACAGGAGATCTATAACTGAGGACGTATCTCATACAGGAGATCTAGAACTGAGGACGTATCTCATACAGGAGATCTATAACTGAGGACGTATCTCATACAGGGAGATCTAGAACTGAGGACGTATCTCATACAGGAGATCTATAACTGAGGACGTATCTCATACAGGAGATCTATAACTGAGGACGTATCTCATACAGGAGATCTATAACTGAGGACGTATCTCATACAGGAGATCTAGGAATCTGAGAGATCTATAACTGGACGTATCTCATACAGGAGATCTATAACTGAGGACGTATCTCAACGGGAGATCTATAACTGAGGACTATAACTGAGGACGTATCTCATACGGGGAGATCTATAACTGAGGACGTATCTCATACGGGAGATCTATAACTGAGGACGTATCTCATACAGGAGATCTATAACGGAGGACGTATCTCATACAGGAGATCTATAACTGAGGACGTATCTCATACGGGACGTATCTCTAGGAGATCTCTACGGGATCTATAACTGAGGACGTATCTCATACGGGAGATCTAGAACTGAGGACGTATCTCATACGGGAGATCTAGAACTGAGGACGTATCTCATACGGGAGATCTATAACTGAGGACGTATCTCATACGGGAGATCTATAACTGAGGACGTATCTCATACGGGAGATCTAGAACTGAGGACGTATCTCATACGGGAGATCTCATAGATCTGAGGGATATCTCATATGGGAGTATCTCATCAGTGTGCAGGGTCTATGCTGAGGACGTATCTCATACGGGAGATCAGTGTGCGGGGTCTACTAACTGAGGACGTATCTCATACGGGAGATGTAACTGAGTGTACTACTGAGGACGTACTACTAACTGAGGACGTATCTCATACGGAGGTCAGTGTGCGGGGTCTACTGCTGAGGACGTATCTCATACAGGAGATCAGTGCATACATACAGGGATCAGTGTACGGGGTCTACTACTGAGGACGTATCTCATACGGGAGATCAGTGATCAGTGTGCGGGGGTTTACTACTGAGGACGTATCTCATACGGGAGATCAGTGTGCGGGGTTCTTACTACTGCAGGGTCTACTGTCTACTGCTGAGGACGTATCTCATACGGGAGATCAGTGTGCGGGGTCTACACTGAGGACGTATCTCATACGGGAGATCAGTGTGCGGGGTCTACTGCTGAGGACGTATCTCATACAGGAGATCAGTGTACGGGGTCATACTGCTGCGGGGGGCTGAGGACGTATCTCATACGGGAGGTCAGTGTGCGGGGTCTACTGCTGAGGACGTATCTCATACAGGACGGGGATCAGTGTACGGGTCTACTACTGAGGACGTATCTCATACGGGAGGTCAGTGTGCGGGGTCTACTGCTGACGTATCTCATACAGGAGATCAGTGTACGGGGTCTACTGCTGAGGACGTATCTCATACGGGAGATCAGTGTGCGGGGTCTACTGCTGAGGACGTATCTCATACGGGAGATCAGTGTGCGGGGTCTACTGCTGAGGACGTATCTCATACGGGAGATCAGTGTACGGGGTCTACTGCTGAGGACGTATCTCATACGGGAGAGGTCAGTGTGCGGGGTCTACTGCTGAGGACGTATCTCATACGGGAGATCAGTGTGTACGGGGTCATACGGGAGGATCAGTGTGCAGGGTCTACAGCTGAGGACGTATCTCATACGGGAGATCAGTGTGCGGGGTCTACAGCTGAGGAGATCGTATCTCATACGGGAGATCAGTGTGCGGGGTCTACAGCTGAGGACGTATCTCATACGGGAGATCAGTGTGCGGGGTCTACAGCTGAGGACGTATCTCATACGGGAGATCAGTGTGCGGGGTCTACAGTCTACGGGAGATCAGTGTGCGGGGTCTACAGCTGAGGACGTATCTCATACATTACATAGTTCCCACTGATCATTCCCAGAGACATATCTGCCTGTCCTTGGTCCAACATCCCGGACATAATGGTCCCCTGTACCACCTCACTGAATAAACCCAATAATTAAGCCAAGGACACCGCTATATACTTACCACAGGCTGGACAGAGTCCAGGGGCCACATCGACAGTGCACCCAAGTCAACTGTAGATGGTACCTGAGGTTTTTACCCCACTGCAGTCAATGGAAGGAACGGAATGGGATGGAAGTCCTGAGATTAGTTATGGAGACTCTGCCTTTGGTCATTCAAGGTAAAGTGATAGGCTCTCTTTAAAGCCTACCCATGACCCACCTAGACTTTCCCACCACCCTGCACTGCTCTGGCAGAGATTTGGCAGACACTCAAGGCTTGTGCGAATAGGTGACATGTGACCTCCTTCGGGAGGCAGTCTTTGGTCCTAGCAGCCACTCACTGGACTTGAACATGGTCATTTGAGGGAAAGGGGGATGTCATGGAACCAATGTAATCATGCAACGCAGAGCTTGCACAGAGTTTGTCTTCTGGCTCCAGGTTG